CATTCACTATACACACTATACATCCACTATACACAAAATACATCCACTATACACACACACTCTGTCCACTACACAAAGTGGGGGCATGTCATGTGGGCAAGCTTGGGGCAGGTCATGTGGATTGACTTGGGGGGTGGCCCCGGGGGGCCCAGATGGTGGGCTGTGTCAGGGGCCCCAAAATTTCTGGTGGCAGCCCTGGGCGGTTTGTAACTGTGGTCACAAAAATAAATGTTCTGGGAGAACGGGAAGCAGCTCCATTTTTTGGGGGTCCTTTACACAGCTCAAGGTCTGGGTCCCAGGGTCCACCTTCATGTTCCACCAATGAGTTTGTTCACAGGGGGTGGAGTGTGTAGGGATGTCCTGATATGTGTGTAAGGAATGCATTGTGTGAAATTGTGTTTGTATGTGTAAGGACTGCAAGGTGTGTTTCTGTGTATGTATGGGATGCATTGAATGTGTGTAAGGGGTGTATTGAGTGTGTGTAATGAATGCATTGTGTGTTTCTGTGTGTGTAAGGGATGCATTGTGTGTAACGGTTGCATTGCTTGTGTATGTGTGTCTGTGTGTGTAATGCATTGTGTGTTTTTCTGTGTGCAAGGGGTGCATTGTGTGTATGTGATGAATGTCAATCTCTCCTCCCGCTCCAATTTCCTTCTCCTCCTCCCAATTTCTCTTTCTCACCCCCCTCCAAATTTCTCTCCCCCCCTAATTTCTCTTTCCCCCTCCTAATATCTCTTCCCCCCTCCTAATTTCAATTTCTATCCCCCCCTTCTAATTTCAATTTCTCTCCCCCCTAATTTCTCTTTCCCCCTCCTAATTTCTCTTCCCCCTCCTAATTTCTCTCTCACCCCCCCTCTCCTTTCTCTTTCTCTCCCCCTCTCCTTTCTCTTTCTCTCCCCCCCTCCTTTCTCACTTCCTTTCTCACCCCCCCTTTCTCACCCTCCCTCCTTTCTCACCCCCCTTTCTCCTCTTTCTCACCCCCTCTCTCTCACCCCCTTTCTCCTTTCACCCCTCTCTCCTCTTTTCACCCCCCTTTCTCCTCTTTCACCTCTCCTTTCACCCCATTTCTCCCCCCTTTCTCTCCTTTTCACCCCCTCTCTCCTCTTTTTTCACCCCCCTCCTTTTCACCTTTCTCCTCTTTCACCCCCTCTCTCACCCAATCTCTCTTTTCACCCCCCACCCCCTCTCTCCTCTTTTCACCCCCCTTTCTCCTCTTTCACCCCCCTCTCACCCCACTCTCTCTTTCACCCCCCTTTCTCCTCACCCCCCTCCTTTCTCTTCCCCTGCCTCCTGTACCCGGCCGGACTAACAGGAAGGGAACACTGAGTGTGCACTTCCTGTTAGTCCGGCCTGGTACAGGAGACAGATGCTCCCTGTACCCGCGGACCATAGAGGGCTCGGCCACGCTACAGTGAGGGAGTGACAGGAGGGAGCGCTCAGCGTTTCCCTCCTGTCAGCCCCTCTCCTCAGGCTGCGCCCGGGCGGTGCGGTCCGCCCTCATGGACGCACCGCCCGGGCAAAGCTGCAGCCGCCTGAGGCTCTCTACAGAGCGCTCGGGCGGCTGCAGCATGGGGGGGCGGCAGGGCTGGCCATGGCACCCCCCACCCTGGTGGCACCCGGGGCGGACCGCCCCCCCCTTAGTACGCCACTGTTCCTACTTACACATTTTAATCAGATTCCCCTTAATCAGTGTAAGATCTAAATTCTCTGTAAAGGGGACTTCGTTATCCACAGTTGTTGATCAGTTCACTGAAAATATTTAATATATTTTTGTAAAACAGATTTATTGTAACCCCACAAGCAATTAAAACAGCAAGTGTTTATAAATAGTGACCTACATCAGAAGGGAGTTTAGAACATCCTAATGATGGGGAAATTACAAGCCACGTGTGTCTAATAACTGAGCTTTAAATCAAGGATCTGCTTATGCAATAAGTATTATACAGCTCACTCCACCCAGCCAGGGCTCCGGGAAACGCTTGATAATTAGGGGACAGTGGCACTCTCCAGGGCTCTCCATTTTGTGAGGCAATGGCTGCTGGGAGTTACCAGCCACGGACTCAGAATAGATTGCAAATAAGGCAACGTACAAGGTGTCCTGGTACTTAATATGGAGTAAATATTACAAGGTAGCATGTTAACAGGAAGGACCGATTACCCAGCTATCTGTCGATAAATGGCAAAAAGTAACTTCTGGATAAAATGTTTGATGATCCATAAACGTCTCTTATCCAGGGAACTTATAAAAAATGCATACCACAGGAGTGTTACTTTGAATTAAAACCCTGAATTATATACAACAAATATCTCCACGTATAAAGGGTTTTCATACTCTCCGATAGTTGTTAGGTTGCGCCACAGAAAGGTTAAAATGATGTTTTCTGAAAAATATAAATTGTACTTACAGTAAGAAGCCAAACAGAATAGTTATAGTCCAAAATTATAAATAATAAGTCCAATATTTGAGGTACTTGTGTAGATCTGTATCGTGAAGGTCTTGAGATAGTGGTGTCTCTTGATCCGGTTAGGACATAAAGAAAAGAACTCAAATTGTGAAGTATGTCACAGGTACGTTAGGAAGTGTAGAATATGTTATAATTGCACTCACCTATTTTTGAGCTAGTACAAGCTCAGGTATGATTTGCATTCAGTGGCATTGATCCTCCACTGGTAGGATATAGGTGATGGTATATTTCCGTTGATTCCTCAGGGTAGAGATGTGCCAGTAAAGGAGAGAGAGAGAGGGCAGAGATAGTGCTCTCTGTATTAAAACTTATTTTTAAAAAGTATAGTAAAAGATCTTATACTCACATTTAAGTGAACAGGTAGCACTGCTCACTTATAGAGGCATAGGTGGTATAATCCCCACCTGGGATTCTTTAGCAAGTAGATCCGCATGGATTCTTGGTGACCAGGTTAAGATAAAATAAAATTTCTTTTATAGAAAGTAAAAAGAATGTATGGCACAGGAAGGGTAAGAAGGCCAATATTCCTTTATTAATACAAAGTAAAAGTATAAAAACAGCCAAAATGCGTTTCGCCAACACAGGGCTTTCTCAAATGGCATTAAAAACATTAACCCGGTCCATAGGAGTATATATAGGTAATGCAATCAATTACACTTTGAATTTTGGTGCCATATTGATGTCATCAGCATTAGACACAAAGTTGTGGTATACATTACAAAACAAATTGAATGGATTAAAATAATATTTATTGGAAATACTCTTAAAAAATATGTTTGTGGGTTCAAAACGAGGTTTAGAATTGTGTGTACACTGTTTTAAAACCTTTATTATTATTCTTGGTCCGGCCATGTGACACGCATGGATAGTGACGTATTGAGTCACGTGGTTGGACGCAGTACCTTATGGGAATTGTGTGTCTGGCATGGTTAGTCAGTGATGGCTCCATAATAGAGAACAGAGGGGGTGGGTTGTGGGAGGTGCGTGCGTTTGTGCACATCCCACTACTAGGATTTCGGGACATGTTGTTTTTTGGTGCAAGCGATTAGTTAGAAAAGTGACAGCATTACTATAGGATCAAAAAAATACATCACAACATGTCAAACAAAATCATAGAATTATATAATTGTAGTTATTTAGAAAGTTTTTTTAACAAGAAGGATACATTGAGATTTCACAAACAATACACAATGGACGCACACAGAACATAAACCTAGAAAATCATCATCACTTACATGTTTGGTTGGAGATAAGACCAGATTATTCAATTAAAGGGACACTGTAGGCACCCAGACCACTTCAGCTAATTGAAGTGGTCTGAGTGCACTGTCCCTGTTGCCCTTAGTGCTGCAATGTTAAATGGTTCCAGAGATACTGCTATGTTTGTATTGCAGTACAAAATCTGGCTCCAGTGGCTGTTTCCCAGATAGCCACTAGAGGGCTCTTCCTGGTTAGATCTGGACCTTTGGTGGTAACTGGCACTGGACGTCCTTGTGTTCTGCATGAGGACATCCAGCATCAGATATTTCCCTATAGGAAAGCATTGATTCAATGCTTTTCTATGGGGAGTTTAATCCACACACGTGCATTGGAGCCTACTTGTCGCAGGACGGAGGAGAAGCTTCGACCCAGTGCTGAGGGACATCGGCGCTGGGATCAAGTAGGTAAATAAAGGGTCACTAACCCTTTATTTACTGGGAGGGGCGCGATAGTGCCAGGAATACAGCTTTGTATTATATAGTATCCCTTTAAGTGTGAATTCTAAATAATAAGTAAATGTAAAAAAAAAAAAAAAACTTTTTTTCTTTCTTTTTCTTGTGGCCATGTCACAAACATCTATGACCCAAACCAGTATATAGTGATAATAGGAAGAAAAGGATATGCGATCCTGCACCAACAGAGCTTGCAATCTAATGGAGGTAAGCTAAGCACACTAAAGGTAGTACAAGAACAATTATTTTATTATTGCGTGATGGAGCTTTAAATTGTAATAAAAGTGTTGACGTGCCAGGTAGCTCCCTTTATGGATTTAGCATGCATACACTACAGCAAATTAATGAATTACTCGAAAATAAAAACAGCGTGAAAACTCTCTTGCAATCTGCTCATTGACCAGTAGATGGCAGCATCTCTATTACTTGCCAGACAATGGTCTGTGGTCCCAGTCTCCATCTAACACAATCCGATATAATAAGATAAAACATTTAAATACATTAAAAGGTTACTCCACCATAACCACTTCAGCTGTAGCTGGTTTGCCCCCATTACCAGGAGGCATCCTAATCCCACTGCGGGCTGCTTGTAATGCTGGGAGTAACCCTTTAAGTGCTGCTAATCTGTGATTACGGATTGTCCTGTAAATTTAATAATCGAGGATTTTATGTATTTATCACGCATTCTATCTTTGTGTCTCTAATCATATTTTGCTGCTTCTTTAAGAAGATTACACCAGATGACGACAAGACATCTGGAGGCAGGTTGGAGAGTTTTTCACATTTACGCAATTCTCGACTTTTAAATTTTAGGCCAAAACATCTGAATTAAACAGAAAGCAGCTGGCTTAGAGAATTACACATTGGCGAATAAATCCGTCAGGAAAGCCTAGATTTATATTACTGTCAGTCTGCTGGAAGCCAAAGGCTAGCAGGGAATGATGGGAATTGTAGTTCATCAACTTTTGCATCCCAGCTCTGAATGTCTGTTGGAAACAGTTCAGTTTATTATCACTATTCAATGGATTTCAATGGCTTTCACTGCCCTCCTCTCCTCCCCAACAGAGCCTGTGAAATTGTCACACTCAATTCTAAAATGTATCATCGGCCAAAACCCTGCAGGTGACACTAAACGGTTTGGATTCCTATTAAATATTTGTGGCATAATAACCTATCGTGAAAATCTCTCCGCAAAACAGAAAACATGTTCAATGCAGCTGTAAATGGCTACAAAACGATTAAAATGAAAACACTTATCACCTCCTATCACCCCCTATCACCTCCTATCACCTCCTATCACCTCCTATCACCCCCTATCACCCCCTATCACCTCCTATCACCCCCTATCACCTCCTATCACCTCCTATCACCCCCTATCACTCCCTATCACTTTGAGGGGCTTTAGGTTTGGAACTTGGTGTATGATCCCTTTTTGTCCCATTTGCTGCTGTTGTCCACCGTGCACATTGACAGGGATATTCATTTGGCCAAATTTGCTTTTATCCAGTGGATATGAGTCCGCAAGTAAATCTCAGAACAATCGATTAGTTCGCGTGTGGATTAAAGGAATGTGATTCAGACAAACTGTCCAAAACTAATGTTATTGATTAATGTGTGAATTGCTGAGAATTCAAAGTAAATTTCAAATTTGATATAAAAGTAGCCCAAATGAAAACATCACTTACTGGGAGGATTTTTCCAAATTATTTATTAGGGCCTAAAATTTGATTTTAATTTACATTGAATTTCCCGACAAATGTGCACTGTTCATTAAATATCAGTATATTATAAACCTTTACTCAATGGCAATCTGCCCTGACTGACCGGTCATTGTACAAACTGGGCTCACATCATTGTATCCCAACGATTGAATGGTTCTGCATACATAACCAAGATGGTTTGTTTATCAATAACCAGACACCCCGATATCTCCTCCCAGCACCGAGGCACGTCCTACACGTCTTTATTGTGTAAGATGCGGCCATTTCTAGGAATGTCTTATCTCAGTGAGCAAAGAGGAGGCTATCAGAAGCCACAACAAGCTCCCAGGACAGATTGCTGCCTGTTTGTGTTACCAGATGTTTAGCTTTCTATCTGCAGGAGGTTGGACGCACGTCTTACTTTGCCAACCATGAAAAAACCCAGAAACAATTGAACAGTTTGAAGACATTGGCCAAATATATAGACACACTGCATGCCTACACTCAGCCTATACAACATTGGCAGCCGCAGACCAATACAACCAGTGGGTGTTCATATACATAACATAAACATTATTTATAGGGTTGTATTAAGCCCATGCTAGTGTCATCCCCTACATCTTAATATTACTACAATGTCTTTCAGACAATGATTAGTAGATGACTGAATGAAAAGAGTCAAAATGAGTTTAGACGAGTACGTTGGGGGGGTCTGCTTTTGAAAAATATATCCTTTAGACTAACTATATAGGATTTAGTGAATGTTATTACCAAATGCTAAAACACATTAATATAAAACAAATAACGTGATCTTTAATTGTAACGACACTTGTTATGTTGCAAATTATACTAAACAGATCAATGAGTTGGACTCAAATTCTACCATAAAACAAGTGAAAATAGTTTAGAACTTTTATGTTTGTTGCATATTTTAGTACTGTGATCATTTTCCAAGAGAATTGGTTGAAATGGCTTATCAAAAAATGTCTTAAAACTAGAGAATCTCTTTATAGTCAAACAACATAAAAACAAGTTGTAGTTCTCGTACAGGGAGAACGAAAACAAAATGTCTTTATCAACGATTTATGTAACATTCTGTGGGCGAAGCATGTTTTTGGCCTGGACTATAATTGAAAGAAAGTTACAAAACTCTAACTGGCATGATCGAGAATTTCGTAAGCATTACGCCAGCTGCCACTCAGTGATATGAGCTGTCCTTTATAGACAATGGGGCGTATTTACTAAACAGTACATTAAAGGATTGCAAACTAAATTGTATAAAAAATACTTTGAATCAGCTGTTTTTCCAGCTCGATTATCATATCCTAAATTCTGTAAATCAACAGAAATCATCGTTAAATCATCGTTAAATTCAGATTTAGAATGTAGAAACTGCATAATTTACTAATCTCACCAGAAGTAAGTTTATAATTACGAGTGTCCTGATTCAGGCTGGACAGTCACAGCTTGGAACTTGTGACCACTTCTGCTCACTTTGTCAGTGTGAGATCCTTGGGGTGCCCAAACGGTAGATCCCCAGATGTTGTAGAACTACAACTCCAATGATGCTTTGCATGCCTTTTGAAAGACAAAGCATCATGGAAGGATAGTGTTAAAACATCTGAGGGTCTATCTTTTTTGGCACCCTGTACTAAGATGTCTGACCCGATTTTTGATCAGTTAAACATTAAAATACTTGATTTATCCCTCTACTCACTCATAGGACTTTGTGTTGCTGCTGTCATTTGTAAGAGAGTTTGCACACACTGGTTTGTTGACTGAAATGAGAATTTAAAGTGAATTTAAAAGTTAAGACCAGAGTAACTGAACTGATAGCTTAGCTAACTTAGAAAACTTTTCCAGTTCGGCTGTTTTGACCTTAAATTTGAAATCCTCACCTTACTGAATAATCCTGATAGAAGTCTGTTGCCTGATCTCTCAGGAGTTTCCTCTGCGAGGTCTCTAACTCAAAGTGGCCCCCTTTTATGTTAACAATATTTAGTGCCTTTGCCAATGACAAAAATTATGCTAACCAATTTCTTTTATATTTATTCCACAGAATTTGCTCCATAGATACCCAAATTACAGCTCCCATCATTGCTCCAACCTCTCTCCAGTGTTCACTGGTAAGTTCTGGTGTGCGCTACTTCAGTGGCTCTCGGCCCAGTCCTCAACGTCACCAACAGGCCAGGATTTAGACAGTTGCTACCTGTTCCAATGGGGATGACAAAACTGGACCAGGCTTGTGCTTTGAGAACTGAATTTTGAAATAATGAACTGCGAGACAGCTGCATTTTATGGGTTGTATGGCTGTTCCCCCACTCCCGGCTGAGGATATCTGTAATTAAACAGGTGTCCCTTACCTGTTCTGATGGAAAGCAGTTCCATGAATGTACTACCCTTTATTTGGAATTACCTCTCAGACTGCACCCTTGATCTTCCAATATACCACCTTGTTTTGTTTAATGGGTCATTGTAGAATGTTATCTAAGCCAATCATTTATCTGAAGGTTTTGGCCATATCTTTGGGCCATGCAATAAATACATATAAGGCAATGGAATCTCTCTGGATACGTTGTGCTTGCCAGTGTTTTCTCTCACAGAGCTCATCGTGATCGTATATGTTTCCATGATAGATAAGGACCCGTCATAACTCCATACTGGACCTGGGACCTTCCTAGTCCCAGATAACGATTAATGCATGTTTTACTGCTCGGTCTACATGTGAAAGTGATGGATCTAAGTCTGTGGGACCTTTCATTAAATCCGTGTGGTTTCTATTTAAATGTTTTTCTCTCTACAATTAAACAACTTAGAGAATAGTCACGTTCCTGTCGTGAAAACCATAAATCAGTTTGTGACTCACCGCAGGCGTGTTGTCTGTTATGTTCTCGTTGCTATAGGTTGGAATAGATACTTTCAGCACCTGTATTGTCTGTATATAAGAAGGAAAGGTTTATTCCAGGGGCATCCACACCTCTCCCTCCAGATGTCTTCGGACTACGATTTCCAGAAATGGTTGGCAGAGGATTCTGGGTAATATAATACATGGGAAACAGATGGGCCAAGACTGGACACCCTTGTTTTTTTCATTATTTTAATGTGTAAAATAATGTCAATCATTCCAAAACACATCAGGATTTAATAGAAAGAAGGCATATTCAAAAATGCTGGCTTCTCTCTCTGCACTGATCCTTCCCGTAGTAAACATTAAGAGACTTATTCACATAACTTGGAACCAGATAACTGGTCATTTGGGTTTCATTTCATTCCAATTCATTGTTTAGTGAATAAAGCTCTGTATCTGTTTCTTCCTTTACCAAACTGCGTGTATAAAGAAACTGTGTTACGTGGTCGGTTTCCAGATACGTCCGATACAGCACTCTGCTACATGTTAATAACGGCTGCCCTGCAGGGATATTGCTATAGTGCCAGAAGGATCAATGTATCAATTAAAGTGGACATAAAGGGTCCGTCCTGATTGCCAGGAAAACAACTTAACATATTACATGGCAGAGCTTTCCATGTCGAGGACACATGGTTACTTTGGATATTTACAGGGGTAATAAGATTCCGAAAGTTGCTCTGTGTGTTTATTGAAGGGTTAAATTCACAGTCTGGATGGATAATATCAGTTAATAATATTAATAATTAATCTGTCTCCGCTGTAGCTCGGTGTTCTGTTAATGACAGATTAGATTTAAAATATGTCTTGTTTCGGGTGGTTGCGTGGCAGTAAGCATGCCACGTTATGGTGGATACAGAGCTAGAAAGTCTCTCTGTTTGGGCAATGACTGCTAATTTCAGTTTTTTACAGTAAACCTCTGTACGGACGATGTGCTCACTGGGGAGAAATCTTGCTTTGGGTCAATTTTTGAATTAGTAGCATTAGTCTCCTTAACTGACAATGATAAAGGGGGATTTATCAAAAATATTCCCCGTTATGCCCACCACAGCGAACTTCACTCAATGACAACTGTTTGCTTTTTAACCCAGAATGTGATAACACAGAAATAAAGCCCATGGCTGTGAAAAACGTGGCCCTCACAGGTGTGCAATGCACATCGACCTAATTCTGGGCAAGTTTCACCTCTTTGTCCCACGTTTATATGCGTTTGGGTTAGCTTGTTTTGTTAATGTCAATTCGGATGAATTTCGGGCAATTCGTACATTCGGATACCGAATGTACGAATTGCCCAAAATTCGCACGAATAGCTGAATTGCCCTAGTTCCAAATTGCCAACGTTCTGAAATTGCCGAAGTTCTGAAGTTGCAGAAGTTCAGAGTGTCGAAGTGCCGAAGATCCAAAGCACAGAATTGCAGAAGTACTAATATACCCAGTGGAAGAATGAGGAATGTTACAATGTATACCAGTTTTAAAAAAAAAGTATACAAACATAGCCAGGATTCAGCTGTAAGCATTTGCAACACTTACAACAATCAAGTAACACATTCATATAAAATGTAAATTACTTAGCCAGTCAATGAAATGACAGGAATGAATAAGTAGATAACTCCCTAATTCCCACGGTATTAGGGAGTTATCTACTAAAAGGCTGAAAGACCTAAATTGGTCTTTCACACAAATTTACTAATACTAAGTAAAGATGACTTAGTATTAGTAAATTCTGCCCCTACTCGCTATACCGCGAGTAGGGGCATGTCTATTAAACATTGAGCAGCCTGTGGCTGTAGGGGTAGGTAGGGGTTCATTCATTTTTTTGGGAAGGGGGTAACTAGGGGTTTGGGGACCCCTAGTCACCTGGGGGGTTACAGTTTTTATTTAGGGCCCCCACCTGCCGCTCAGGGGTGGGGGCCAGAACAATAGGTCTCCCCCTTATTTTAGTTTAGGGCCCCCACCCACCGCTCAGGGGTGGGGGCTAGGGGGGAGGATAAAAGGTCCCCCCTTATTCTAATTTAGGGCCCCCACCCACCGCTCAGGGGTGGGGGCCAGGGGGGAGGACAATAGGTCCCCCCTTATTCTAATTTAGGGCCCCCATCCACCGCTCAGGGGTGGGGGCCAGGGGGGAGGACAATAGGTCCCCACCCCTTATTCTAATTTAGGGCCCCCACCCACCGCTCAGGGGTTGGGGCCAGGGGGAGGACAATAGGTCCCCCGCCTTATTGGTATCTAATTTAGGGCTCCCACCCGCCACTCAGGGGTAGGGGTCGGGGGGAGGACAATAGGTCCCCCTCCCTTATTCTAATTTAGGGTCCCCACACATCGCTCAGGGGTAGGGGGCAGGACAATAGGTCCCCCCCATTATTTTACTTTAGGGCCCCCGCCTGCCGCTCAGTGGTGGGGGCCGGGGGAGGACAATAGGCCCCCCCTTATTCTTCTTTAGGGCCCACACCCGCCGCTCGGGGGTGGGGGAGGACAATAGGTCCGCCCCCCTTATTCTAATTTAGCCCCCGCCCGCTGCTCAGGGGTGGGGGCTGGTCAATAGGTCCCCCCTTATTTTACTTTAGGGCCCCCAACCGCCGCTCAGGGGTAGGGGCCATGGGGGGAGGACAATAGGTCCCCCCCCTTATTCTAGTTTAGGGCCCCCACCCACCGCTCAGGGGTAGGGGCCAGGGGGGAGGACAATAGGTTCCCACCCCTATTATTTTACATTAGGGTCCCCCCCCTTGAAATAATTTAGGGCCCCCACCGACCGCTCAGGGGTGGGGGCAGGGGGGGGAGGACAATAAGTCCCCCCCCCACCCCCATTTTTCTGATTTTGGGTCCCCACCTGCCACTCAGAGGGGGGATGACGGGGGGGGCAATAGGTCCCCCCTTCAGGTTAAAAGCCCCCAATCACGCGGCACAGGTGGGGGCTCGGGAGGCGGGACACAGTGGTTTTAGTGTTTTTTTTTTTTTACAATAGACATGCCCCTACTCACGGTATAGCAAGTAGGGGCAGAATTGACTAATACTAAGCAATTTAGTATTAGTAAATTTGGCTGAAATACCAATTTAGGTCTTTCAGCCTTTTGGTAGATAGCTCCCTAATATAAGTGGCTGCAAGAGAACATCCGAAGTGCTGAAGTTGCGAAGTGCCGAAGTCCCGAATTTCGATTTGCCGGTCCGAATATTTTCCCTATGCACATCCCTTCTGGGAAGGTCTTTCGTGTTCTGACAAGGTCCCTAATGTACAGGGAAGGTCCTTTTTTTTGATGAGGTCCTTCTTGTTCTGACGAGGTTCCTCGTGTACAGGTAAGGTCCTTCATGTTCTGACGAGTTCCCTCATATACAGGGAAGGTCCTTCGTGTCCTGACAAGGTACCTTATGTACAGGGAAGGTTCTTTTCATTCTGACAAGGTTCCTAATGTATAGGGAAGGTCCTTTGTGTTCTGACGAGTTCCCTCATGTACAGGGAAGATCATTTGTGTACTGGGAAGGCCCTTTTTGTTCTGAAGAGGTCCCTTGTGTACTAGGAAGGCCGTTTGTGTACTGGGAAGGTTCCTCACATGCTGGAAAGGCCCCTTGTGTATGGGCTGAGGATTCTGTTATATTTTTTTACATTTCTGCTCTGGTTCCTTTTTGACCCTAACCTCACCTCTATAGTTCCTAAATCCACAATAATTGAAGGATAGCTTGAGCATATTTAAAGAGTCATTAGTCTGTCTATATCTGTTGGTCTATCATTAACTCATTTACTTGTTTAAAACCACAAGAGTGTAGGACTCCCAGTGACCGAGCATATTATGTAATGTATTAAATGCACATTTAATGAAGATTTAACAGAGAAGACTCTGAATATTTATTGATCTGAACAAGTTCATAAATCAATACTTTTACATCTCTCCTTAAATCGGAATTGGATAATTCTACCTTGTTTGAAACCACTGGTGTGCTGGTTGTTATCAGATTAAATAAAATTATCCAAACTCTGACGATCATACATGTAATAAAACATATTAACTATCAAAACGTAATAAAATGTATTAACCATCAAACATATAATAAAATGTGTAGCGGATCACTAGTCCTAAGAGGGACTTGCCCTCGCTGGATAACCAAGAGTAGAATGAGGAACAAGATACTGCCAAGTAATAACATGAGAAAACAAGGGACTGGCTGCACTCACCGGAACATGCTTAAATGGGGTGCTGCTGGGGGCCAATAAGTACAGTAAAAATGAAAATCCAGCGCACTCCCTGATCTACTAAACAGCTACTTTGGTGCTGACAGATTTTGTTAGTTTTCTTAAAAACACCTGAAATAATGGGGGTTTAGTTACATTATATGATCAACGTCAATGTACCCCATCTTTGGCAGGTCCTTCTCTAACTGTCTGCTAAATTAGCTACTCACTTGGGGAAATCCTTCCCAAAGTTGGGGTACATTGACGTTTAGTAGCTGTTTAGTAGATCAGGGAGTGCGCTGGATTTTCATTTTTACTGTACTTATTGGCCCCCAGCAGTACCCCATTTAAGCATGTTCCGGTGAGTGCAGCCAACCCCTTGTTTTCTCCTATATGTATATATTTAGGAGTCTAGCCAGCTCCTTGGTTTTGCACCCCTCCCTGTTACAGGTGCCTAATCTCAGGACCCTATTTAGCCTTGTACTGCAGAGAACGCGAGATGGAAGGATTTCCCCAGGTGAGTAGCTCATTTAACAGACAGTTGGTTGTTAGAGTAGGACCTGCCAAAGATTGGGTACAATGACGTTGTGGCAGGCTTAAGGGAGTGCGCTGGGTTTTAATTTTTACAAGTAATAACATGTATTACTATAAAACAATAAAATGTACTATTAGGGGCGCTCTTTACTGAAATCAGAGCTAACCCCTTTAATGAATCAATTTAGGGGGCCAATAGGAAATATACCGTATATAACCGATATGACATATAAACGGGCAGTCAGAGCCTCGGATATGATGGGAATATATTCTGCAGGTGTTTTACCTGTCGGAGTGAGGGCAGTGCGGCCGAGCTCCTAATCTCAGATCAGGTACCTGCTTGTGATTGTATTAGTTTGTGTGAAACACGTAATTACAGGCTTGCCAAAAGAGAAACTAAAGAGAATATAAGGAGATTAAAAGCATTGATTATTTTCCAGCCATTAACAGTAAGTACAGGCTATTGTAAGCTCTGCTTCTATTGTATAAACTCTTTTCTTGTTTTAAGATTTTGTTTAAATTCTCTTATCTTCCAGAAGTGGATACGTTGATTTTAGGATTATGTAACTAAGCAGGGTGTTGCCTTGTTATTGTTATGTGTGTGACAATTCGTCGTAAATTAGCTTTCTTTGTTATCCTTTATCCCACTTTCTTTCAAGAATCAGGACACAACATTCAAACTATCAACTTCGCTTTTCACTAAACAAGACTAGAAATGGCACTGAGGGATCTGGCCATTTAAATCAGACCCTAGTGGACATTAGTGGTACTGCATGAAAAAAAAGCGTTACTCCCCAAAATATACATTGCCCAGATCAAATTCAAATTATTGTGTAAAACATAGCGAACACAAAGTTCTCGCTTTTAAATTCACTTTGATTTCCCAACAATTTACACCTTAGTAAATGACTCTGGATTAGAACATAACCCTTTAACTCTACACTTTCCATCCCATCCATGTATTGCCTGTCCATGTCTGGCTGTCACTGTGTTTGGGCTCTGCCTGTCCCGTCCATGTCTGGCTGTCACTGTGTTGGGGCCCTGCCTGTCCCGTCCATGTCTGGCTGTCACTGTATTTGGGCTCTGCCTGTCCCGTCCATGTCTGGCTGTCACTGTGTTTGGGCTCTGCATGTCCCGTCCATGTCTGGCTGTCACTGTGTTGGGGCTCTGCATGTCCCGTCCATGTCTGGCTGTCACTGTGTTGGGACCCTGCCTGTCCCGTCCATGTCTGGCTGTCACTGTGTTGGGACCCTGCCTGTCCCGTCCATGTCTGGCTGTCACTGTGTTGGGGCCCTGCCTGTCCCGTCCATGTCTGGCTGTCACTGTGTTTGGGACCCTGCCTGTCCGTCCATGTCTGGCTGTCACTGTGTTGGGACCTGCCTGTCCGTCCATGTCTGGCTGTCACTGTGTTGGGGCCCTGCCTGTCCCGTCCATGTCTGGCTGTCACTGTATTTGGGCTCTGCCTGTCCCGTCCATGTCTGGCTGTCACTGTGTTTGGGCTCTGCATGTCCCGTCCATGTCTGGCTGTCACTGTGTTGGGGCTCTGCATGTCCCGTCCATGTCTGGCTGTCACTGTGTTGGGACCCTGCCTGTCCCGTCCATGTCTGGCTGTCACTGTGTTGGGACCCTGCCTGTCCCGTCCATGTCTGGCTGTCACTGTGTTGGGGCCCTGCCTGTCCCGTCCATTTATCGCTGTCACTGTGTTGGGGATCTGCCTGTCCCGTCCATGTATGGCTGTCACTATATTGGGGATCTGCCTGTCCCGTCCATGTATGGCTGTCACTGTGTTTGGGCTCCTCCTGTCCCGTCCATGTATGGCTGTCACTGTGTTGGCTCTGCATGTCCCGTCCATGTCTGGCTGTCACTGTGTTGGCTCTGCCTGTCCCGTCCATGTCTGGCTGTCACTGTGTTGGCTCTCCCTGTCCCGTCCATGTATGGCTGTCACTGTGTTGGGGATCTGCCTGTCCCGTCCATGTATGGCTGTCACTGTGTTGGGGATCTGCCTGTCCCGTCCATGTCTGGCTGTCACTGTGTTGGGGATCTGCCTGTCCCGTCCATGTCTGGCTGTCACTGTGTTGGCTCTCCCTGTCCCGTCCATGTATGGCTGTCACTGTGTTGGGGATCTGCCTGTCCCGTCCATGTCTGACTGTCACTGTGTTGGCTCTGCCTGTCCCGTCCATGTATGGCTGTCACTGTGTTGGGGATCTGCCTGTCCCGTCCATGTCTGGCTGTCACTGTGTTGACTCTGCCTGTCCCGTCCATGTCTGGCTGTCACTGTGTTGGGCCCCTGCCTGTCGAGCAGCGAGATACGATATTTACCGGTATCGTAATGAAGGAATCTTTACATAAATATATCATTAAATTCATTAAAGGGAATGTATAGTCCCAAAAATAGCAATCTTTTTTGGGGGACGACTATACGTTCCTTCCTATTACTGTACATACTGAAAACCACCTTTTCTGAAATAAAATGAAGTTAAATAAAGATTATTCACATTATTCCCAGCGTCAAGCTTTCGGACTCATTATCAAAGTGAAGCATTGGATTGAGATACGCAATGCGCAGCCCAACGCCTCTAATGGCCATCAGGAAGACAGAGACTAGATTTAACCCTTCCCTGTCAGTGGTACTGTTTCTATAAAACGGTAATGTTTACAGGATTAGGAGGACACGACCCCTTCATTGAGTTGCCGTTTACTGGGTGACTTTATTGGTTCTTTAATACAACTAAGATTATTCTGTGATTTAAAATGCTTGACCGGGAACCAAGCTGGACGTGCAAGCCTAGAGCTCCTCGCTGACCCTCTGTACCAAATGCTCACAAAAGCTATTAATCCACGAAAAAAAAACCACCTATCCCACTACCTAACCAACCATGGACAAGCGCTTACTGAGGAAACCGGTTAAAAAAACAACAGGACACGGCTGCCACGGTACCTGAACTCTTCGCGGCCTCCCGCACGCCTCGCCAAGACACCCAAGATGGCGGCGGATCCAGCCCGCGAGCCCCAGGCTCCCCAGCCTCGCAGCTCAGCCACATCGGAAACAGCCCACATACTTACAGAGCTGGCAGCGGTGAAAAACTACCTAGCCCGCAAGATAGACAGAAACTCAAAGGCTGGAAGGCATTATTGGTATTTTCTATTTCTAGAGAATAATCAATGCTTTTAATCTCCTTATATTCTCTTTGGTTTCTCTTGTAGCAAGCTTGTAATTATGTGTTTCACACAAACTAATACAATCACAAGCAGGTGCCTGATCTGAGATGAAGGCCCAATTGCGGCCACGGTCCTGGCCATCCTGCGGCCCCGGAGATACCAAATGAACATTGGCACATCGATAGGGTGCACAAGGCCCTGTGTGCCCGGAGAGACGACAACTCAAGACCCAGAGGCATAATAGTCAGTTTTCTCCACTTCCAGACAAAGGAAGCAGTGCTAAAGAAGGCCAGAGAAAGCCCCATAAAATACCAGGATAAAGAAATTACCCTATTCCAGGACTTGGCTCCTATCACCCTCCAACGCAGAAGAGAGTGGAAGCCAGTTACTGAACTGCTCAGGATCAACGCAATAAGGTACGCCTGGGGACACCCCTTTAAATTAATGGTCTTTAGACACGGCAGACCTCACATCCTCACACCAGGCACAGATCCAGCGCCCTTCTTCCGTGCTCTGGGCGTCACATTGCCGGAAAACTTCACATTGCCAACTACCGCACTCCCGGCCCTACAACCCCTACCAAGAGACTGGCACACCGCCGCGGAGTAAACAGGTGGCCGACAGATACCAACAGCCAATGCCCAACCATCCTCCCAGGAATAACACCGGACCCCATCCAGTAACGACTCAGCGTTCTCCCAAGGCTTCTAACGCCACCAGACGCCAACCCCCAGAAAAGAGAACTGAGTCTCACCGGTGACATACTAAGCCCGTAGACGGAGAGAATCTGCAGCATCCAGAGACTATACCTCCTTTTATGATGGCTTCACCCTGCACCTGGATTACCCTTGTCACACACACCAACCAACGGACACCTTTCTACTTACCACCACCCTCACAAGGACTCCTCTTCCTGCACAACACTCATCTTGAAAACAGCCACAACGATACGCCACCCTATGGACCTGACTAAAGACTGATGCGGATGTCTCGAAACAGAAACATAACCCTGTTGAAAGCGAACAAAACTAAGAGACTTACCTGATACCCACCAGAACTGTAATGTATATATGTGTAACCTAAACGCAGAAAAAAAGACTGTTAACCAGGGCACATATACCCAAGATAGACACAACTCACCACTCTAGACACCAGCTCACCAAACAACCATACTCACACACACGCATCTTCGATCACCCCTATGCCAGCACACCTAACCACAATTAGACTAAGTTCAATGACTTGAGACAAGGAACTTGTTCTATAAGGGGAAGGCAAACACCTAGAAAGAGCAGCTCACATTTGCTATCAACATCCACTGCTGCGAAGGGAAGGGGCAGAGAATGGTAAACGGCTATTGGTCTGAAAGACCACAGAGGGACTGAGGTGGGACACTGAACACATAGAAAAATCAGGGCAAAGGGACAACATAAGAAATGTTTTGTACTTGAAATGGCTAATGTTATGTAGCTATATTGTGTCATGTTACTAACTTGTATTGTTATGTTTTAATACTCCCAACCTACCCTCTCCCTCCATGCCATCGCCCACTTAGACCAACCGCCGACTTCAAATAACAGACCATCCACTTTCCACCCATCAACGTAAGGGAACAAGAACCCAAAAAAACATTAAAAAAAAAACATAAAAAAAAAACACCCTGACATGAACTAGAAAGACAGGAAACATATCATTGGTCAAGACACAGGACCCCCCTCCCCCCCACTCATTCACTAATATGATCCCCAGCAGGAAAACCATCACAGACCAGAAGGTGTAACTCGAATAGTCTCACCCTACAAAGACTCTCCGCCCCACCCCCCCATTTTGTGGACAACACCGCTAAGCAGCAAAACTCAAGAGCTCCCAGCTTCACCAACTAGCCATAGAAACCTAATGCCACAGGAATAGAGGCTGGGAAGCCAAATTAACCACATGGTTATTAAATAGTGCACTGCACAATAATGACCCAATTGACGGATGATACATGGTATTAGGGGGCCACACCGGCGACTAGGTTCAAGACCCACTACTCCCAGACTGATATAGTCCTTGCAGAGACGAGGGTCCATGCACCCCCCCACGGTCTGGCACGGGATAAGACCAGACACGTACGGCAATACCGTACTCTCTCCTTTCCCTATCTTCCTCACCTTCTTCTATTTTCACTAATCAACTCCCACCCATACACCCTACCCACCCCACGCCCACACAGGTCTTGGACAAAGATTGAGGCAACATGTATGCATCCTCAAACCCACATCCAAAACGTGAATCAAGGGAACAGAGGTGGGAGTTGTGGCAAACCTAGCCACTTGGACACTATAAAGAGACTGTGCCTTTAAGGGTTGCCTGTATGGTTGTGCGATATGTGCTTACCTATGTAGAATATATGCTGGTTGTATTAACATGGATTTGCTGTATTGGCTATCTGCCGAATGCAGATAGCTGTATGTATTTTGTTTTCTTTCGTTTCACGAACGGCACTTTTGCGGGCTGTTCGTGAAACGAAAATACCCCCATGTAGAAGCCCACACACTTAGAGGCGTGTGGCGCTTGTTAACTGATTGCAACAATGTTGCAATCGGTAATTAGAGGCTCTCCTATGTGGCCGCCGTTCGACTACCGACCATGCGGCGGTCGGCCATCTTGGATCCTTTGTTCCCTCAGCGGTGTTTGGTCGTCGAGCGCATGGTACTAAAAACGGCTACTCGACGGCGCAAACACCGCTGAGCTTCCAGGCCATTCGGGAGTCCCGGGCCGTTCGGTATTTGGTTCCCTGGAAGGCAATCGGTATTTTGAGCCTGTATTTTCATGAATGTGTTTTTCGTGCAGTGTTCGGTTGGTTTAGCTGGGATCTGAGCGGTATTTTTACGAATGATGCGCTCAGACCCCAGCTATCTACCGAACGTCCATTCGTTTAAATGAACCGTATATTCAAACAGTTATGGATTTTAATGTAAATTGTAGGTTCTGCTGCACGGAGGGATAATCCAATTAACGGTACATTCCTGTGGGAGGATCCCTCTCGTGCAGCAGTGCCTGATGGGAGAAATGCCCTGTATTGTAAGTCCCCCATGTAGTCTCCTCTGGGAATGCCCCTGGGAGGGGACTCAGGAAACCCCTTGCATGGGGACTTGTATAAATTGTGGAGCTGGAAGTAAAGACCTCAGTTGACTCTCAGAACTGTGTTTCGTCCGGTTACTGGGAGATTTGGGGAGATTGCCTTACTTTTCAGCGCTGACTGTGGATTACTGTATGTACCAGAGGAATTCGTGGGATTTATTATTGCCGGTCCGCTACAATTGGTGGCAGCAGTGGGATCCAACCTTACAGCCGAAAAGCGCAGTTCGTGCAAATTGAAACTGCCGAACAGGAAAAGGGAATGGCAATTCGAAAGCAACAAAGGAACCGAACGCAGAAGTGAATGGAGACGGATTATGCTACATTAAAACGGCAGATGTTAAAGGAACTGTTGGAAGCCAGAGGTAAAATAGCCAGCAACAAATCTAAAGCTGTACTTATTGCCGAACTGATGGAGGGAGACAGAGCTCACAACGCCACACCCCCACCAGCCATGGAAGAGACCCTGTACCAGAAGGAAATGAGGACCAGGATGGAATTTTTACCCCAGCCTGTACCGCTGGAAATGCTGACTGTACTGATGGCGGATATGCAGGAGTATGAGATGGC